AAAAAAAAAAAAAAAAAAGGTCTTTCTTTGGGCAACAGTTTTAGGAGTTCCTCCAGGCTCTATCAGACCTTCTGTTGTGTCCCTGGTCAGAGCAGTGGGTCATCGTAAGTAACCGGGTAGCACCCGGTTCTGCTGGTTTCAGACTGGAGGAGCCTGTGGTTTGTGGGCCCCGCTAGCCCTTGATCTTTGAGTCTTTTGTTTTCTTCACTTTCCTTTGCTCCAGTCAGGACAGGAAGAGTTGTATTACCCTCCAACTACAAAAATTCACTGCCATTAAGTTGACTCCGATTCACAGCTGTCCTATAATACAGGATAGTACTGCCCCTTTGGGTTTCCGAGGCTTACAGGAGCAGAAAGCCTCATCTTTATCCCCAGTGCAGCTAGTGGGTTTGAACTGCTGACCTAGGATTATCAGTCCAACACATAACCTATTATGCCACCAGGGTTCCAGCATTTACCCTCGTTATGTTGTGTGTTGTCTTTCCCTTCATCAGGATTAACGTGTGCCTGCTGTCTTATTAAGTGATGGTCTCACTGACTCTCCCATATCGGGTGTAAAAATGGCAAAGCGGAGGTGTCTGATCTCCCTTTACTTCTTGAGAAGTCCAGAGACTCCAGCAGCACTGGCCCAAGGTCATCTTTCAAAGTGGAGGTCAGACACACCTCTTCTTTCCAACCTTTTTTTTTTTTACCAATTCTGATACCAGCCATCTCTCCCATGACATTCTCTACTTCTCTACTTCTCTGGTTTGATAATTCATTTCATTAACCACTCAGAACTCACAGACTATACTCACAATTATGTAGTTTATTGGGAAGTAATAGGGATTTTTCAGGGTCAGGACCAACTTGGAAATAACAGGGACAACTCAGGATTCCTTGATCAATTATGTATTATTGTTTCATTTTTTACACTGCCCGTTGTCTCCTGTGTTAGTGTGGGTAGACAAGAGAAACAAATCCACAGAAACTCATATGTATATAAGAGAGAGTTTTATATAAAGGGTAAATGTACATTAAGAAAGCATCCCAACCCAGTGCTGTCCAAGCCCATAAGTCCAACATTAGTCCATATGCCCTACACTGATCTACAAAGTCCTCCTCTATCTCACAAAACACACGCAATGATGTTGACTACAGGAGAAAGCTGAATCAGTGAGCATGTAAGCATCTCAGGGCTGGCAGGGATCTCCACGCAGCTGCTCCAGCACCCGTGGCTGCATTGGGTTAGGTCCATGTGGCTTCTCAGGGATGTCTCACAGGAAGTAAGACTTGCCAGCTGAAGCAGGGAACTGGCTAAGGCAGCTACACACTGGTCCGACCATCAGAGAGCAAGAGACCCAAGAACTAGAAAGGCGAGGCTTGCCGAGCCATTTATCTCTCTGCCCTTCAATTAATCCCACGTGTGTTTATCAGCCAGGTTGGCACAATAAACCTTAAAGATCTCATCTCCCTTCACCCACATTTCTGTTAGTCGTCCCCCTTGAGGGGGGGACTGTATATCCAACTTCCCCCTTTCTCACCCTTCCCCTACTCCCCACCATTCCCCTACCCTCATGATATCGCTACTCCCACTACTGTTCCAGAGGGTTTTATCTGTTCTGAACTCCATGTGTCAAGAGCTCTTATCTGTATCAATGTGTGTACTCAGTCTAGCCAGATTTGTAAGGTAGAACTGGGTCATGGTAGTCCGGGAGGGAGGAAGCATTCATGAACTAGAGGAATGATGTGTTTTTCATCGGTGCTATACTGCTCTCTGTTGAAGCCAGTATTTGTTTTTGTATGACTGATTCAGTTCATCAGCAAATGTCTTGTGGTTTCATTCATATTGTAAAATATTTTAAAAAAAGATATTTTGTGGGCTTATTATTTTTCTTTATCATTGCATAGAACTCCATTGTATGTATGAACCATACTTGGTTTATCTGTTTGTCTGTTCATCTGTTGATGAATACTTAGGTTGTTTGCATCATTTTGCTATTGATGATGTGAACATGGATATTAATATGTCTGCCTATGTGTGTCATTGTTCGTATTTCTCATGATACATACCTAAGAGTGGAACTGTTGGATCACAGGATATTTCTATTTCTAGCCATACCTTTTCCCACAATGATTGTACCATTTTTCAATACCATCAGCAGTGCATAAGAGTTCTCCTCTGCCCATGACCTTGTCAGAAATTGTTGTTTTCTGTTTTTTTCAGTCAGTGTAATTTTTGCTGGGGTGAAATGGTGACTGATTGTACTCTTGACTTGCATCTCCTTACTGCCTAAATGATCATGAGTATGTCTAATATGTCTTCAGAAATGGTTCAGAATGATGAGTATTTCTGTTGGTAGTCCTTACATATCTGATTTCCTGTATTAAAATTAAATGATAGCTCATTGTTAGTCTTTTTTTTAACTGTGAGTAATTTTATTTTAGTCTAGTTTCCCAAACTTATTTGGCCTACCACCCTCTTTTCAGGAAAAAAACAAAACAAAAAACAACCTACTTAACAACACCCCCTCCCACTGGTAATTAAAATTTTTTATCCCTTCCATAATCCAGGAAGCTTGCTCAGCTTCCCCTGCATGGTTCCAGTGATCCCCCAGGGGGCAGTATTGCCCACTTTGAGAAACTGGTCTACTTGTGTGACCAGTGGTAAGGGGTAGTGAGTGATACCATGAGGGCAGGGGGGAGGTTGGGGGAGAAGGTGGAGAAAGGGAGAACAGAACGCAATGATCGACATATAGCCCTCCCCGAGGGGGATGAATAACAGAAACGGGGGTGAAGGGAGACAGCGGACGGTATAGGATATGACAATAATACTATATAACTTATCAAGGGTTCCCAAGGGTGGAAGGATGGGGAAGGAAGGGCAAAAGAGGAGCTGACATCAAGGATTCAAATAGAAAGAAAATGTTTTGAAAATGATGATGACAACATATGTACAAGTGTGCTTGATACAATTGATGTTTGGATTGTTTGGTTTTTTTTAAATCATTTTATTAGGGGCTCATACAACTCTTATCATAATCCATATATACATCAATTGTGTAAAGCACATTTGTACATTCATTGCCCTGGATTGTTATAAGAGCTATAAGAGTCCTCAATAAAATGATTTATAAATTTTTAAAAAAAGAGAGAAACTGGTCTAGTGTGTGTCGGCAAACTGGGGCATAAGAACCATATATGCAGCTCTTTTGGTCCATATACGTGGCACTGAAGAAAAAATTAAAAGATAATATTCAGATAACAGTGATTTTGTTTGTTTGTAAATATTTATTTACAGCTCTCAAATCATTTTTAAATTGTGAGGGACAGGATTGGCTCAAAATTTTGCCAACCCCCGCTCTAGAGCATTGTTTCTCAAAGTGTGGTCCCAGGACCGACCAGCACTATCAGGATCATCTGGAAACTTACTAGAAGTACAAGTTCTTAGACTTTACTGCAGACCTACGGAGCAGACACTTGGAGTAAAGCCCCGTATGCTGCGTTTTAAGGGGTTGCTATGCGCTGGGGTTAGCAAACACGTTTATAGTAACAGTCTCTTTCACAAAACTCGATGGCGATGTGTTTCGTGTTTGGTTTCAGTAATCCAAATAGGTGTCAGTTTGAGTGACTGATCTAGAGGCCTAGGTTCATTCCAATGGTGTCAATTATTTTTCTCTTGAACTTTGCTCATTCAGTCAAGAAAGATTTATTGAACTTCAGTTACCAGGCATTCTTAATGTATTAGATTACGTTTGTAACACCTGCCAAGGACAAGGCAAGAATAATATGACTGATTTTATATAGCCTTGTCATTGCTGATAGAAAAATAACCTAAAGTGTGTGCTTCCATACATTGTTTTTCATGTCAGTGGCACACTTTTAGGACTGAAAAAATTTGAAGTGATAATATGTCATAGGTTCATTGGCAGGAGCTTTCTTCTTGTTTAGTGATTGCTATGGTGAAAAGCAGTGGCGTCCTAGATTCTGTGAACTGTGTGATTCAGTCGTGCCCTGTTGGGCAGTGGTCACCATAGGGACTTTCTGCTCTTTGCTGATATTTGCCAAACACCTTATGATCAAACATTCCTTTAGGGTGCTCACTGTCTCTTGGTGGATCATTTTCTTTTTTGTTCTCTAGAGTTGCCAGAGCGGGACACGGCACCAGGAACCATTTTGGTGACAGAAGAAGAGCTTAGCCGATGTCTTGAGGATGTATTTAAGGTTGGTCCTTTGTGTCACTCATGCTTTTCCCGAATATTTGTAATGTTTTAAAATTCTTTCATCTCCTAGTTGATATTTCTGGAATTGGAATGACAAATCTTCAGTTTTAAACTGAAAATTTGTTTCACCTTGTAAACTAGAAACTGTAAGCTGAGTTTTTTTTTTCTTGAAATCATTTTATTGGGGGCTCGTACAACTCTTATCACAATCCATACATACGTCCTTTGTGTCAAGCACATTTGTACATTTGTTGCCCTCATCATTCTCAAAACATTTGCTTTCTACTTGAGCTCTTGGTATCAACGCGTCATTTTTCCCCCTCCCTCCCCGGCCCCTCTCCCTCATGAACCCTTGATAATTTATAAATTATTATTTTGTTAAGCTGAGTTTTTTTTAATGAAAAAAAAATGCATTTGAGACTCTTTTAATTTCAACATTAGACTCAATGTTAAAACTGCCTACATCCTCCAACAGGCACATGACATGAGGGACCATGTCTTCTGAAGGAATTTCAGAGACTTTTTCATACTCCCGGCTCCCTCAAAGTGTTTACTCATATTGAAATGATTATAACTTTTGATAGTAATCACCGTCTTTAAGATGTCAATCTGAATAAATGAATCCCCCAACTGACTACTTGAATGTATACTGCAAATGTACACACACACACACACACACACACAGCATGTTCTCTTGGATTGTAATCCTATTAATAAATAAGGAGTAGACATTGTTGTTAGATAAAATGAAATCCATTGTTTCTGTCAGGTAGTGTTGGGGGTAAGTTTATTTTAATAATTTTGTAATGATGTTCTTGTTAAAAATATTTATGTTTGTAATCAGCTTTTCAAAATTATAATCCTTGTAAGATTATATTTTCACTTTGAAAAACAGTTTGGCAGATCCTCAAAAAGTTCAACAGAGTTGTCCTCTGGCTCAGCAATTCTACTCCTAGGTATCTGTTAACCGTCCACGAGCAATGAAATTATCTGTCCACACAAAAACACATACAAAAATGTGTATAGCAGCATTATTGTTAAAGACCAAAGTGTGGAAGTAATTCAAATGCACAATACTGTGTACCCATCCAGTAGATTGTCATTCAGCCATTGCAGAAGAACGACGTATAGATACACATTGCAACATGGACAAACCTTGAAAATGGCTTGCCAAGTTAATAAGCCAGACACAAAAGGCCATTTTACATTCCTATCAGCTATGTATGAGGATACAGCGTAAATCTTAATTCAAGTTGTTTCAGATAAGAACACAAATGTTTTGATGTATGGATTGTTACAAGAGCTGTAAGAGCCCCTAGTACAATGATTTAAAAAAAAAAAGAAAGATGCTTTTGTGTTTAGCTCACTGTATGATACTGATAAATACATAAATATAAACTGCATGCTGAACAATTAAAAACTCATTCTTCACAACACTTTTGTTACTAACTTTATACAGAGTTACTAACTACCACTTTGTATAAATTTACTATGAAAAAGAAGGGTATATAGTCTTTACAGGACTGACCTGGCAAATAGAGAATTAACTTGTTCCTGGATAAATCATAGTTTGTGGTGACTTAGTTATTAGTAGCAATATATGAGATTGTTTTTATTTTATTTTTTATTCCTTATTTAGAGACTCTTAGGTCATGCGTCTGCTCTAAATTTTATAGACAAGAGCTTTTTAGATTATTGAAAGACAAGTAATGTTATAGAACAGTATAGAAAGCAAGTTTTCTGAATTCAAGAACACGGGTCCACTAACTGTCAGAAAGATCATCTCAGTCTCATCCTATTGGGACGCTAGTAATGCAAAAGTCCAATGGTTGGGTCAGGAAGACATGAAAAGGCTTGCAGGGTTAGGATTAGTCGTGACTAAACTTTGGTACAAATCTCTCATCATCTCCTTTGGAATCCAGTAAAGAGCTCTGGGGGCAAAAAGAAAGCAAAGCAGGGAGCCACTTGTTGGCAAGTGGATTTGCTTCCAAACAACAGAAAGAGAGTCTCCTATTCTTGTCCCCCAAACAGGGAGGGGGAATTAAAAACCTATCACAGTGAACAGCTTGGTGAATTTAAAACTTCCTGGAGAGGCAAACAAAGCATTAGTTTGCTGTAGACACTGATTATGCACCAAGGATTGGGACTGTCGTGAAACCAGGAAGGGGTGTAGAAGGGTAATTATTCTCTACAAGGTTTTGGCAACTCAGCTGCAGTTAGAAAACAGAGGAAATGTGTATATTGGAGACAAATGGTAAACACTGTGTAAAATTTAGCAACAAAGGATATGTTGTCTTTATTAACCTTTGGCTAATACTAAATTATAGTGCACAGCCCCAAGACAGGAAATAAGGAAAACATCTGGGATGGGTGAATTGATCCAGTAACTCACTGGGTAATCAGAGGGCATAGCAGGTATTCCATTTGAGAGAGGCGTTTGGGAACATTTCTAATCTGGGTCTCCCCATCCCCTGCTCCCTTTTGAACATTTATTGAGATATAATTTACATACAGTATTGTTCACCTGTTTCAAAGGTAAAATTCAGAGTTTTAAAGTCTATTCACAAGGTCATTGCAACCATTGCCATAATCTAATTTTAGAATATTTTTTCTTTTTTAATAATTTTATTGGTAGCTCTTCCAGATATCATAACATTCCATAGTTCAATCACTTCAAACAGTATTGTACAATTGCTACCATAGTCAGTTTCAAAATATTTCTTCTTGAACTCCTTGATATCAGCTCCCCTTTATCCCCCCCACCCTTATTTCTTAATTTATGCCGCATCTTACACCATCCAGTATATCCATTTACGTACAATTCTATTGTTCGCTCTCCTTGAGTGGGGTTAAACAGTCATCAGGGCTATCAGCTCCCCCTCCCCGCTTCCTCCTACCTCACTTCCTGTTCCCTCAGGGAACTATTACTCATGTTACTGTTTCTGAAGGGTTATCTATCTTGGCTTTCATGTATCAGATGATCTTCATTATGCAAGTGAACATATGCAAGTCCAACTTGATTAATGGGGTAAAACAAATAAAAATCATAATAGTAAGGGGAGGAAATATTAAAGAACTAGAGGATAGTTACGTGTTTCATCAGTGCTATAGCACACCCGGGATTTATCATCCTTCTGTGTGGCCTTTCTGAGAGGGACTGTCCAATGACCTTGCAGGTGGGTTTGGGGTCTCCACTACATCCCACTCCTTCATGTAGATTGGCTGCTTATTTTTGAACTGCTGAGATCTTTTCCCATCGACACCTCATGATCACACAGGCTGGTGTGCTTCTTCCATGTTGGCTTTATTGCTTCCCTGCTAGATGTAATTTTTTTTCTTTCTTTTTTTAAAATTCATTTTACTGGGGGCTTATACTACTCTTAGCAAAATCCATACATACACCCATTGTGTCAAGCACATTTGTACATTTGTTGCCATCATCATTCTCAAAACATTTTCTTTCTGCTTGAGCCCTTGCTATCAGCTCTTCATTTTTTTACTCTCCCACCCCCTCCCTCCCTCATGAACCCTTGATAATTTATAAGTTATTATTATTTTTTCATGTCTTTAACTCTCCGATGTCTCCCTTCACACACTTTTCTGTTGTCTGTCCTCCAGGGAGGGGCTTATATGTAGATCCTTGTGATCAGTTCCCCCTTTCTACCACGCATTCCCCTTCTCCTCCTGGTATTCCTACTCTCATTATTTGGTCCTGAGGGGTTTATTTGTCCTGGATTCCCTGTATTTCCAGCTCTGATTTGTACCAGTGTACATCCTCTGGTCTAGCCGGATTTGTAAGGTAGAACTGGGATCATGATAGTGGGGGGTGGTGGTGTTTTTCTTTCTTGAAAGAAATCCTAGACTCATTAGCTGTCATTCTCTATTCTTCTCCATCCCACACTCAGCCCTAAGCAACTACTGATAGGCTTTCTATTTCTGTATGTTTGCCTAGTCTGGGTATTTGATAGAAATAGAACCTTATGACCCCTATGTTTTGCCTTTGGGAGAATAAACTGTTTACCCTAGTGGCTGCACCATTTTACATTCCCACCGTCAATTATTCTTGCACAGTTTTGTGAATACAGGCCAACCCCAAAGCGGCTCTTCTCTCAGCAAGTAGGTTTTCCACAACGGAATCGAATGTTAGCCACTACATCCCTCACACTCTAGGGGCCATGGGTCAAGTCTGTAAGTTGTGTCTTGGAGGCCTCACTCGCTGGGCTTAAGGTGAGGTACCCCATTTGACTGGGTGCATTGAAGAGTGGTACTCTGAGCTCACCAGCCGCAGTCTTCAAAGAAATCCTCTTCTGCTCTCTTGATCTTCTCTACCCTCTATCTGGATGAGGAGTTTGTATAGTCCCCAAACCTGCTAACGTCTTAGCCCGATGTCTTGCTTTAGAGATTTGGCTCTGTTTCATCTTGATGCCTCATGTGACCTTTCCAGTCTAACATCAGGTGCCTCCTGTGACATTTCCACAGCCACTTACTAACTGTAGAGTCTCTTACGTCCTCAGAGCCAGTTCATCATTTCACAAACTACATTCTTGATCTGCTGTGTAAGATCAAAGCAATCTTAGAAGTAACAAATGAGAAGTTCGTTAGACTAAAGAAGTGTTAGTTGAATTGGACCAAAAACTTGACATTACCTCTTATACTGCTTCTGCCTCCATGTTTTTGCTAGGTGCCATGGAGTTAGCTCTGACCCATAGCATCCCTGAACACACTAGGATAAGACACAGCCTGGGTCTGGGCCATCCTCACAATTGTGCTTCAGCCCTTTGTAGCAGCAACTGTGGAAATCCCACCGGTTGAGGGTTTTCCTTTTTGCTGATCCCCCTACTTAACCCACTCCACATTCTGATTATTAAATGAATGTTTGCAGCTCTTTTTTTCCTCCTTTTGAATCATGCCCCATCACCAGGTGAAGGCCCCCCCAAAGCTTTGCTCCATCTACGTCATTAAGGTCAACTCTACTTTGAGGTGGCAGCTCTTTCTCAGTCA